AGGACCTTGAAGAAATTAGTGAAGAGCATGGATTAGTCTATTGCGTTGAAGCCCCCCCTGTAGAGTCCGGATTGTTATGCTAAGTGGATGAGGGCACTAATTATCCAAAGTGCCCTCATAAGTACAGGATTAGCAGTGACTTCCATTAGCCTAAATCCTGATGATGTTGAGCTAATGCAGAAAAGTTAGACCAGAACAAGGCAGGGATTATTTATTATGACTTGGGTTAAATCTGGATCATAAAAATACACCTCAGCACTTTGAAGACATACAGGCCCTAAAACTTGATGTCATTAAATATGATGACACTGGTTTATACACACATTCTCCACATGTTCAGCACTGAGGTAGACACAGAGCCTTACACAAAGCCTAACACAGAAACTGCGAGGACTTCTCAATCACTCTGCTTATGTTATGTTACACCCAGTGAATTCAATGATCTTGCATCAGGTATACATTGTTGTTTACCCCCACACAAAACAAAATGCAGATATGTGCACCCTATTTTTTGGACTATTTAGCGCACCTGAATATAAGCGCAACCACTAAATTTAAAAAGAAAATAAATAATTGTACATATATAGGCCATACTTCTCAGGTGTTCTTGTTGTAACAAGAGATATTTACATTGAAAGATTTTTTTTTTTCACTTTTAATTTAATAAATGCTTTTTTTTCCGAACAGGGCCTGTAACACGACTGGTTCCACGTTAGCTCTTTCCTGCTTGGTGCCCTGACCATAGTTGGAATGCACAGAGGAGACTTAGTGATTTTGTCTAGGTCTGCAGCTAACATTAGTCTGTGGCTAACTCCCTTCACTTTATGCTTGTCCGCAGGAGAGGTAAACAGAAACAGAGTAGTTGAGGTCTTTATCATCGTATTACCGTTCTCTCTCGCATGCATAACCCCCACACACATATATGCACACAGTCCTTCACAGACGGACATGCTACTAGTATAATTCACAGTAGCCTACCAGAAAATGAATTGATCGTTAGTGGTCTGAACTTCGTTAGCCAGTAAAAATCTATAAATTAGCAGCATTGTTGTTTAAGCCACAGGATAAAAGCAGTAAAAAAATATATCAGCTTATAGTCCAAGTGTTACAGTGTGTTGACATTGAAAATATAAAAATGTGTTTGTTTGTTTCACATCCTACCAATGACTAAACGTTGCAATTCAAAGCTGGTGAGAGGCCTTGTCTTGCATTGTACAGATTTACATAGGTGTTATGACTAGGCTAGGTTTACTAAAGGTAATATTTAGTTTTTTTCTGTTTACACAGATGCAGTGGTGTGCTGTGTATTCCTACCCTAAGCCTTCAGTGGTGTCCTGCCTGAAAAAATCCACATCTAATAACTTCATTATGTCAATAGAAACTGTAAATATTATGCAGAAATGTAGTATAATGAGTCATTGTATCTTAGATGAGGGGCCACCAACCCCTGGTCGGTGCTGGTCCATAGTTCATTTGGTACCTGGCCGCAGTGGAATACAGTGAAAAATGTCCTTCAGTTTTATTATTTTACTTACATTCATTACTTACATTCAAAATAAATCCAGCCATATCCCTTTACTTTTTTAATAAAAAGATAATCTGACAAAATTTAATGATTGTTCAATCATTAAATCATTAAAAGAGGAGTATTACCAGTCCACAGTAAAGGCTGAGACCGGTTCTTGGTACAAAAAACATTGGGTACCACTGTCCCCATAACTCATGTAACCATTAAAACACCATTACTAAAGCAAGTTGCTCGATGCAGTTTGCCCCCATTCAAAACTGCCTTCTTTTACCATCCAATCAAATCACTCAAATCATCAACATAACTTCCCCTGCTAGAAACCCAAACTCTAATTGGTTAAACAAACAATCCCATTTACTTTAGGCTCCAAGCACTTTGAACTACTAATTCTTAAGGTCTTAAGGCCTTTTTTTCACCCTGTTGACACATGTGACTGACATATGATTGGATAAAAAACATGACTGGAAACAGCACAATCAAAAGAAAAGCCTAGTATTTTTATTTTATTCTTATTTGATTAAAATTCATAACAAGTATATTGAAAAATATGTTACTGATTCTGATACTGTTAAGGCCAGCAGAGAAGGCCCTGTGGGCTTTGCTGGTATGCCACTGCATGGATGGTGTAGCCTGTTAAACCCAATGGCCTCTTACAACTTACAAAGGACGATGTATCTGATATTTAAGGTTGAAGAGTTCTGTTAGGCAACTGCATGTGAATTTTCTAAAAGAAAATATTTTACCTCTCATCCAAGAGGCTTCTTCAGTTCTAACTAGTGGTGGGGAGTACAGCTAATATATTCTCTGGGTGTAAAAGAATAAAGCTACTTCAGCTCCCCCTTGTTGGGTGGGGCCTTGGGGTGGGAACATGTAAACAATCGTTAAGAGTCTGATGGGTCATTGTGGTCTTCATCAGAAAGGTTTTGGTCACCTGCCTCTTTGTTATTAGAATATTTTGGGTATTGTTCCTTAGAGTCCTTTGTTGTGATGTTCCAACACTACAATGGCAAGGAACGACAAAAACATAACTTGCATGACCTCCAGTCCAGACAGACCACTGCCGTGGAATCTACACAAAACAACAGAGATTCCAACACTACACGGCAGGGCTCCCAGGAGAATTGAGTGAAGAATCTGTCTGACAGAATCCTCACCCAGCCAGAAAAGGACTTCTTAGCCAAAGGACTGAACTTTGCGGTCAATTCTGCACACATCCCCACCGTGGACCTCATCACAGCCATCAAGACAGCCATCAGAAACAACCGTTTAAACACCACAGAAGCCGAAAAGCTCAGGTTGAAAGTTACTGCGGCTCTCTCCAGTGCGAAACCTCTCCCTTCAAACCTGTCCCTCCCTGAGAAGAAAGCGCTGGCAGCACTCCAAAGAGACCCAGACACCACCATCCTTCCAGCAGACAGAGCGCAAATTAGGAGTCATCAGAAATCTACCAGGCAGACACTATTTCCGCCACCAACAGAGGTAAGATGAGAGAACAGGGAGACATTAGGACAGCTCTCAAGGCCTGTGGCTATCCCAGATGGGATTTTTTTAAAACCTAACAAAAAGAGGCCCACAAAGATGGAGGACAACAGGAGGGGGGATGTCATCATTATATACATTTCAGGAGTTTCACAAAAACTTATGAGGATCTTAAACCAACACCAGACCTCCTTACACTTCAAACCCAGTAACATCTCAAAGACAAGACTTCAAGAAACAAGCTGGACAATGTGGTTTATGCCATTCAGTGCAATGAAGAGTGTAAGGACCTGTATATTGTGGAGACCAAACAACCGCTACACAGGTGCATGGCCAAACAGGAGGGCCAACTCCTCAGGGAAGGACTCAGCTGTTCACATACACCTCAACAATGTTCACATTTTGGCCAGACAGATGGTGTGAGAGAGGGGTAAAAGAAGGCATTTTGTCAACCTGGAAAAAACATCACTCAACAGAGCAAGTGGACTCAGACACAACCAACACCCGCACACAAAACACTCTTAGGAACAATACCCAAAAGATTCTCCTCAGTTTCACACAACAAAGAGGCAGGTGACCGAAACCTTTCTGATCAGACTCTTAATGACTGTTTACACATTTCCAGTTGACCCCAGGGCTCCACCCAACAGGGGGCAGCTGAAGTAGCTTTATTCTTTTACACCCAGAGTATATATTTGCTGTACTCCCCACCATCCATTAGAACTGAAGACATCTCTTGAATGAGAGGTGAAATGACTTCTATTAGAAAATTCACGTCCAGTTGCCTAACAGAACTCTTCAACCTGAATTACTGAGAATCTTCATAGACATATCTGATATTTCAACTAAATTCACTGGAAGGCCATTGAACAAGCCAGGGCCTAAACTTGGACCCAAACTAGAGACTGTGCTGTGAGTTAACAGCACTACTTCACACTATAGCGTTCAAGTCTTTAGGAACTTGTCACTTAATTTATAATGTCAGTAAACATTGAAGCATTGAAGGCCTAAACTGCTAGTTTAAGGTCTTTTTTCAGCAGAATGTGATATGAAGTGTGGGTTGTTTGATTGACATGACTTTTTGGAATTTGGAGTCAAGATGCAAGCAAAATGACTGAGAACATCTGCTTGCATATTTTAAAGCTCCTAAATGGGTCACAATTATTTATTATGTGCACGCTAATCTCATGGCTGAATATAGTGGGTAAAATGGAAAAGGTGAGAAGAGATGTTTAAAAAGAAACTGTGGGAGGAGGAGGGAAGTGCACAGCGTTACTGCTGTACTGTTAGGTAACTAAAATAAAAATCACTCTAAGACAGTATACTGAAAAAATTGCAGCTGAAAAGTGACAACTCAGGGGGCTTGTTTTGAACAATAGGGGGATCACAGCAGCTGGTGTGGATGGTAGAAGTTAAAGATATTTCTGACACCACAGTAGGCCTTTAAAATTGAGAAGGGAAAAAAGGAAAAATTAATGAATCACATACATCTGTCTGAGAACTGAAGAGCATTCAGACAGCAAACCAGTTTTTTTTTTCAATTTTATGTATTTTATTATACTATTCTGTGTCAGCAGAGGGAGGTGGCTTGGAAGTTGGTCAGTATGCCGACTATCACACATCTTGACATACTGGAGAATTTAGGTATGTCTTTGGTTCAATAGCCAGAAATGAACCGTTTGTTAGGGGGAAACGTATTTTATAGAGGAAAACGCTCTGCAATGTGCTTAACGCCATATTGAATGATAAGAGATATATTTATATATATATAGATTCCACTGCAAATTCCACTGGAATTTTTGAAGTATGTGTAAATCTTGTGCATTTCAGTCAATTATGCTTTATTACTGTTACTTTTTTAAAGTGTTTTTTGTTTAATAAAGAAGTTCAGATAGATGAATCCTTATCTTTTGTCTGTGATGCTGTGTCATGTGAATAAAAAGTCCTCTTGGTGTTAGTGTTGTTTTTAATCTGTGGCAGTGACACTGAAAAAAGTAGTTGGCCAAGTTTTATAATGACTCATGTGAATGTATGTCATAAACCACCTATATAGATTCATATATACAATCTTGATGTTGCAGTGTGACCTGTAAAATGAAAATAATTATCTCTACAAACATGCATTTCCACCTATGCTGCCTTTTTCGCATAAATGAGTCAATAGAATAATCATTGTTTCTTTCAAAACAATTAACAAGTTTCTCGTCTGTTTTTCCTCTACCTTTCTCTCTCTTCTTCTACTACTTCTCTACTGTCTCTCCCTATTTCTTCCATCCAGCCTGTGAGCTGATGAACCGTGGTATCTTGGCCCTGGTCAGTTCAATAGGCTGCATGTCGGCAGGCAGCCTTCAGACCTTGGCTGATGCCATGCACATCCCCCACCTCTTCATCCAGCGCTCCACAGCAGGAACACCCCGCTCTGCATGCCCACCCACCAGTCGCATCCCGGGATCAGATGACTACACTCTAATGGTGCGCCCCCCTGTCTATCTTAATGAGATCATCATGCAAGTGGTTTCTGAGTACAGCTGGCAGAAGTTCATCCTCTTCTACGACTCTGATTTTGGTAAGGGAATGCTGTCGTTTGTACTCCATCATTTTTTTAAATATGGACTCTGTCTGACACCAATATCAGCACATCAAGATCCATGGGGAGCTGTCAGGTATATGGTCTGTCAGAGAGACTGCTGTCCATGTCTGGCAAATAAAAATGCAGAGCATAGGCAGACATGGATGTGGGTGATTATTCAAATGCACAGAAACAGGCCCACCTGTGGCCATGCATCATTAAAAATCTCAATGCTGGTGGCACATCAGTCTGTCTGTGTGTGTGTGTGTGTGTGTGTGTGGTGTTTCATTTCTGTTTCTGCTTCTCCCCCTCCTTCTCTTTAGTCCATGAACTCCTACATTATGGGGGAAGTATTCTGTGTTCTTTTTTATTGACTAAAACTCTGCTTCTTAACATATTAATGGCTCCTGTATATTGAAATATTGGTTTGCCACATTTCACGTATGTGCAAGTTCACTAGATTTTATTCACCTGACATTTCACCATCATTTTTCAAAGTGTCAGACTGTCAGTCACTGCTGTGCTCTGATTCATACTTAAACATCACATATTGACATATTGACTGCAGCTATACTACAATGTCATCAGGATGCTATCTTTTCCTAGTATTTTCCTAGTTATCATATCACATTGGGTGGTGTCCCATTGCACTCATTGTGGTCAATGAATGCAATTAATGGGTTTTATGCATTGATTTCCAAAGACGTTCCTACAGTGGGGTTGTGTTGCAATGCATCCCCGAAAGCCTGGCTCAAATCCTCTGAGATATTGCAGCCTTTTATCAGAGTATTGAATATGTCATAAGTAGTAGAGCTCAATATTGCACAGTTCAAGTTGGATAAATATTGAGTAGTGGCTAATGTGGCCTTCCTACATGTGGAAGTACCAGTTCATGTCAACGCAATATATACCATAATTACAGCAGCGCAGTACACCATAAGAATGGCTTTAGGACATTAGAGACAGCAGGTATTTTTCCTACATAGAGGTTGGATGAAAGTCCTCCCTGGGCAAGACATTAATTACTAATTGGAATAAATAATTTATGCCCAATACACACTCAGTCAGAATTTTCAGAATAGACGGTAAATTGTGTTAAAGCCAGGTCAACAGCACAATAATAAAGTAGTATAGATAACACAACAAATTATTTGAAGACAACATCAACTTGGTGTGCTCTCTTACTTTTATTCACTATTCAATAACTATTACATCTGTTTAGCATAAGGGAATTATTCATAAGCATGTGCTAGCTAGCTACACGCTAACTTGAGGAGCTGAGCAGCTTGCTAACAGATGTACAAACTGCCAGGTGTACAGAGTTTATGACGTTGTCATTCCAAAGTTGCAGCTTTCACAGGAGGTCCCCCTTAGTACCTCCTGGAGGCCCTTACTTTGAAAACCACTTTCTAGCTCCTGAAGTATACTACAAAAACCCCATAAAGTATTTGTCAATTATTGATGCTACCAACATTATATATTGATACTTGTATATTTATATAAATACTACTACAAGTATGATTTTCTCTTCTCTGGATCTGGATCTTTTTAAATGGTCACATATTCTTCTTTTCGAATCCAAAATAAGATCCAATACTTTAAGAATTTCCATCTCAGGACTGAACATTTTCACACTCTTGATTCAACCACACAGATACAGATACCACACACACACGAGCGATGGCCTTTTAAGATGATAGCAATGTTCCCAAAAGGCGTTGCTTCTTTACAAGGAGAGTCCTTTATAGAACAGACAGCCAAGTGTGTCCTCTCAAATGAAGCTGTGGTGCCACTGTCTCCGTCCCTATTTTCAGCTCTACTGGTGCATTCCGGACACCAAGAACACGTTTGTTTTCTCCTCTCCCTCTATCGCTCTTCCCCTGTGTTTCCCTTTCTTGCTCTTCTTCTCTTTCTCCCCTTCTTTTGTACTCTCTTTTAACTTCCTCACCTTGCTATTAGCCCCCCTCAAATGTCTTGTACTGTAAACGTGATGTATATAAAAACATGTCAAAAGTGACAAGTTCCTGTTGTTGAGCAAATGCGAAGAGTACCACTTGGAGATAATAACACTGCTGGCATTTGGGTGATTTGTTTTGTTTTGCTTTCAGCCAACAACAAAAGGATCACAGAGAGAGCGTTTACAAGTAAAGTGTGAAGCTTTTTGGAATGTCACAGTTTTATTAGCACCACACCTCCATTAAACCAAAAGTGAATACTTGACAAAGATTTTAGGTAATATTGACTTACACATTATGTCAAGTGTTAGCGTTTGAATGATCCCGAAGGCATAATTGGACATATTACCATTTAATCCTTTATGTACTGTTTAATTCATTATGCAGTTCTCATATAATCCTTGTCTATGTATATTTTTACGCAGATAAAAATACATTGGGTACAATAAAGTGTGGCTAAACTGGAGCTAGATTAATTGTAATTAATTCTTATGCCCATGCATAATGTTATTATTATTATTATTTTTTTTTTTTGTTATTGTTGGAGCTAATGTTAGCTTCGGCCCTGGAGCAGATTACAAAGTGTCCCCTGTGCATTCCAACTACAGTTGGAGCTCCGAAGCAGGAAAGAGCTAACGTGTAACCAGCCATGTTACAGGCACTGTTCAGAAAAAAAGTATTTATTTAATTAAAAGTGAAAAAAACATCTTTCTCTGTAAATATCCCATGTTACAGCAAGGACAACTGTGGTTTATAGAAACGTGTGGCCTATATATGTACAATTATTATTATTTTTTTTTTTTAAATTTAGTGGCAGTTGTGGCTTAGTGGTTAAGGAAGCAGACTTGGGTCCAGAAGGCTTCAGGTTTGATTCCACAACATTGGGCACTTAAAGCAGCCCACTGTTCACTTTGGTGATGGGTTAAAAGCAGAGGCCACATTTCGTTGTGTGTGCTGTGTCACAATGACAAGTAGTTCACTTTCCTTAGTGGGTGTGGCTTATATTCAGGTGCGCTTAATCACCCGGAAATTACAGTATTAAAAAACTCAAAGGTAAGTGTCATGCAAGGTATTGGTTTTGGTTAAGAACTGCCATTTATGTAAAGTAAAACAAACAAACAAACAAACAAACAAACAAACATTGTTATGTCTTGTAGAGGACCCATAGCAGTAGATTATAAAGCTATTCCCAAATATCAGACCAGCCTCATTGACCTCATAGCAGTTAATGAGTCTAGCGCTGACAAAGTGATTGAGACAAATGTCATATTAATTTTAAGGGACTGTAGAAATATTAATATTGTTTTCATAGAACTTTTGAAAGTCTATGAAGCTAAATTAAATTAAATAGCAACAAATAAAATGCTATTATTTGTCCTTTTGATTCAACAACATATACAGTAGAAAAAAATGGTTTTCATTATGTTCAGAAATGAAAGGTCAATCATGATTAACCATACTAAATTAGAATTACTGTTTGTAACAATTAATCCACCAATACCCTCTGATTAATCAGATAAAATTTAAGTGTTTGACAGCCCTTGTACTGTGTGTATTTGCCATTTGTGGGAGGACATGACTTGATAAACCGCACACTCTGCACACTTGTTGGTTGTGGCTGACAGAGTAAAAAGGACACATTAGTCAAATCTCCACAAATCCAAATCACTTAGAGGGATATTTGAACCTCAACCTGTTAGTGATGAGCTGCTCTATTGGAACCATATCTCAGTTAAGGGACGTAAGTGAAAGAGGAATGAGAGAAAGCATGATGTGAGTGAAGAGCATGACGAAACTGTTGCGCAAAATTGTCTCTTGAGAGCGAGGGAAAAGAACAAGGAATGATAAGAGATCAGTGAGTGGATAGATGATGGATATCTTTTTAAGGCTATGTAGGAAGGCTTGTGAAAGGAGAGGAGTAAAAACTCAAATCTATGCCAAGTGAGACATGTGTAAGTTGTTGATAAGCACATTTAGAGGAGAGGAAAAATAAAGAGGATGATGAGAAAAACAGGCAGAGCAGCAGAACAGAGAATGGGAGATGTCCATGCAGGCATGACATCATTATATTTCACACTGTACAGTGTAAAGAAGCAAAGCAAGGCTTTAGTATGGCTTTACCAATAAGATACTTTGTGCATGCAGTGATAGTGTTTGCATGGTACAGCAGACAGAAAGCTAAATATTTCTTTGCTTCTGTTTTAGAGACTGAGGAGGAGGTGGTGACATGAGCAAACACAAATACTGACACTATATATACACAGACAAATGCGTCCCCCGGGAAAGCTTTTTTGGTGGTTGGAACAATTAGCATAAAATGCGTGGTCTTGCTATTTAGGTGACAATTTGTTCCCTGACATTCTTAATATTATTTATTTCTGTTTATGCAAAACCCTGGTGAAACAAATACACCAAAATGGAAGACATCAATAGACAAAAACTCTTGGACCACAAATGTGCAGAATAGTCTGAATGCATGGGCAATAAGGAAGATCTAACATGGCAGCTCTATCTTTGCTAAAAAAAAAACAACAACAAAAATTGTAATGCTGAATAAGCATGCATTTCAGCAATATCCTAGTGAGAAGGGAATAAGTGGGGTGTGAACACAACAAGAGCCTGAGCCTGAGGATAAAATGTTGGTTTGTGCATGTTTTTTAAGCACTCAGCAGGGATTCTTGGAATCCAAACCCTGAAGCTGTGAGGGGAAACCAGCAGAAGAGGAAAAGGAAAGGGTTGGGGAAAGGGTAAGGAACTGTCCAAAAATAAATAGGGGAAGAGAAGATGCATGAATAGATAAATTTTTATTTACATTCAATCACTTTTTCTATAATGTTTGTTTCGGTCTTAAGGTGTGTATTAGGTACTTAAACATTTAACAGCAAAGGTGTCAAACTCATTTTGGTTCAGCCTAATTAGATGTCAAGTGATCTGGACATCAACATTACCTACAAATAATAATAAGCCCATGTTTTCCCTTTTTTATGCAAAGAAGTACAAGTCTTGATTTTTGAATCTTCAAATTTAAGGAAATATAATTTT